TAGAATAGCCATTTCTCTACATTGAAAATGTTTATGAGGATATGTAATGTAAAATCCGTCCATCTCGATGATGTATCTACTATTTTTTAGATTTTGTATCATTTTCAACCAAAATGTTACAAGTATTTAAACGTGACTAAAAATATGTTTGTTCCAACAAACTTCACATAACAATGCTTCATTACTTCCCATCATCCCATTTCTTCCTTCTGCTCTTGTCTTCCTGTAATTTAAGTAAACAGAATCACATTCACTAATGATCAACTAATGACTGTCATTGTTAAAAAAGTATTTTTTAACTACTCTAGTATTCGTAGACGCGGTACACACACAATATTTAAATATAATTTGTTAAATTGCAAATAACAATTTAATTTGTGCCGGCGGGGATCGAACCCGGGTACTGTGAAATTTACAGCTTGCGCTAACCATCTGAGCTACCACGGCTTCAATCATACACATAAAAAAAAAAAAAAAACATGCAAACAAAACCCACCACACACACAATATTTAAATATAATTTGTTAACACTGAATCATACACACGTAAGAAAATAACAGAAAGAAAAGTAAGTTTGTCAATAGAATAAACACTTACATCCATGGCCTTTGATGCGTTGAAGTAACACAAATGTAGTATTGATAGATCCACTGCGGTCAAACGACCATACACAAACTCCATGACTGCACTTGCTTGGTCTTATATAGTACCAGTAAGTAATAATTCTAATCTAAAGAATTTTTGCAGTGGAATTGATAGTAACTTTATACGTCAACAAGCTTATCTCACATTTTGTTGCTTATCTCAACATTACTTCGTGTCGCGTCTTATTCAGTGTATTGATGACTCAAATACGTTTTGTATAACACAAAATAATGCAATTTAATATTTAGAAATAACTATAATTGATCATTCCTATGTTAGTCATTAAGTAGATTGTACTGTAATAATCTACTAATAGCAGTAATATCATGGATACACTAGATGTACAACAACATCTGAAAAAGATTCACCCGTCTAGAAAATAATGTTTATGCTGCCAATAGACTGCCCATGTACCCCCACGTGCCAACGTATATAATATGCAATTTGGATACAGATGATAAAACAGGGTCACATTGGGTAGCTTTATATATCAATACGAATGACGTCGGTCAATATTTTGATTCATACGGACGAGCACCTGTACGATATCATCTAGAGTTTTTAAAAAGGAATTGTAAAAGATGGAACTGTAATGTTGATAGGATTCAGAATGAGTGGACTTCAGTTTGTGGCGAATATTGCTTAATGTATTTGCTATATAAGTTTCAGGGTTGTTCAATGCATAGTTTTACGAGTATATTTACAGGGAACACATTGTATTATGATGGGGTGGCAGCACTGTGCTCTTGTTTACATCAGCTCCGTAGTTTTATTTCTATTAAAATTAAGGATTAGTTATTATTGTGGTGAACTGTTTGTAAGCTAAAATATTGATGTGCAACCTTTGTGTGTGAATGTTATTTATGTGATCAGAAACTAACTTTGGACAAAATTGTGCTGTGAACAATACGTAAGTGTTTTCAAAATTTACAAACTTAACACAAAACATTGACGCCTTACTAGTAAACAATAGTTGTAACAACAATAAGAAATAAGTATTTTTCTCTCTGTGATAATACTTATTTCTTATTTATATTCTTTTCGATATCTGTGCACTAAAGATAGTTTTGTTGTTGTGAAGCAATAAAAAGATCGTTTTTTCTTACGACTTGAACTACCACCGATTGAATTGACCAATCAGCGCGTTTCTTTGTTAAACATATACTCAGCGACATCTAGCAGGCGTCGTGAGAAACTGATGTCATTACCGTTCAATCAATTAATTATCAACTAACCATGTCGTCTAAGATTAGAAGTGATACCAACAGCGGCCGCAAGAGCTCATTACATGTTACATGCTATAAATGTAAAAATCGTATCGATTATAAAAGCACAATTGTGTGCACCTTATGCAAAAACTATTTTGAATTTTCTTGTGTTGGCAATCCAGAAAAGAGTAAAAAATGGCAATGCAAATCATGCGATAAAAAAATAGCTGGGCAAACTTTATTAACTACCGAGGAGAGCAATGTGACATTGAGGAAGAAGATGTTGGTACACAATATTAGCGATAATGTAATCCTACCTTCTAATACTGCCCAGGAGACCACACCAGTATCTACTCCAGCTAGCACAGAATCAGGGAAAGAAACTACAGACATTTTTTCCGATGGTCTAACTATTGATGAAACCTTGTTATCAAAAAGTATGGATTACACAATGATGGAAGTTGTCTAACGAGTTACCTATAAATCCTTAACTACCAATCATAAATATATATATCCAAAATGGTATACTAAAGAAATCATAAAATACATAAAATTGAAATATTTTAATTTAAAAATGTTTAAAAGTCGTGGCTTGGAATTTAATAAGGCGTTATTTAAATATTATAGAACCAAAGTAAAAAAAACTTATTAATACAGCATCTATAAATTATATGATAAAAGTTGAAAATGATATAGCACGCGAACCTTCAAATTTTTGGAAATACGTGAAAGAAAAACGAAAGAATAGACAACAGAATAAGGAATTTGTGTATAATAATAGAATTTTAGAAGGGCAGCAAGCTATTGATGCATTCGCGCAGTATTTCAGCTCAGTTTTTCAACCTGATACTCCATTGTTAAATGCAGAGGAAGCGGAACGCGATGCAATGTACGCAGACTGTGTAACCAAAGTCAGTATTAATATTATTGAAGCTTCAGATCTACGATGGGCAATACGCCGTCTTAAGGCATCGGCAGCTTGTGGCCCTGATAACATACCTTCGTTTTTAATAAAGGACTGTATGGCAGTTTTAGAGGAACCATTACTGTATGTCTACAATCTCTCACTTCAACAATGCCTCTATCCCAATGCATGGAAAGTGTCCAGGGTAACTCCTGTACCTAAAAGTGGTTCGTCCACTGATGTAACTAACTTCCGGCCTATCGCGGTTATCAGTATTTGCCAAGGTATTTGAATCCATTATAAACAATTCCATTTATAAACAAATAGGTGGGCTTCTAGACAACTGTCAACATGGATTCCGGCCGGAACGTTCTACTTTGACGAATCATATACAGTTTGTGGACTACGTGACCACTCGGGTTAAGTCGAGTTGTCAAGTCGACGCAGCCTATTTTGATTTTAAGAAGGCGTTTGACCTTGTTGATAATGATATCCTTTTATTGAAATTCGCAATGCTTGGATTCTCTACACCACTTTTAAAATTTATGGCAGATTATCTTAGAGACCGAAAGCAATTTGTTAAGCTAAGAGGTTATATTTCTCAAGAATATTACACACGCTCGGGTGTGAGTCAAGGTAGTACGCTCGGTCCAACTCTATTTATAATAATGATTAACGATCTGCTCAGTAATATCTCAAGGGCAAAATGTTTAATGTTCGCTGATGATATAAAACTTTTCCATGCAGTGACCGGAGCTGAGGATTGTATGGCATTACAGCGCGACATTGACGCAGTGGTTGAATGGAGTGTAAAAAACAAATTGCCCCTTAATAATTCAAAGTGTAAGACTCTAACTTTTTCTCGGTCACGCAATCCAATCACAACGACATACCAGCTAGCAGGCACTCCATTAGGACGTGTCTATACAATTCGCGATCTAGGCCTAATCATGGATAGTAAATTGAATTTCCATGAACATATTATTAAAACGTGCAAAGAAGCGAATAAAAGTCTAGGTTTCATAATTAGAACTTCGCATCAGTTTAAAAATGTCCGTGTGATAAAACTCCTGTATAATGCCTACGTGCGAAGTAAGCTAGAGTATAACGCCTTAGTATGGCACCCCCGAGAAATCATGTATACAATGATGGTGGAAAAAATCCAACGTAAGTTTGCCAGATATCTGTATAAACGCCAGTATGGATACTACTCATTTCTATATCCGTCAACATTTGTATCGGGCATGGTTGGTCTGACGATAATGCATTATTATTTCTTGTAATAACAAAGTAGATAATCCTGCAGTTCGTGAGACATACACCGGACCATTATGTGCGAGGTGCTGGTAGACGAAAACGTAGACTCCTCTCCTGTCCGCGTACGTGGCGCTCCCCACACGCAGATAACAGTCCCACTTCCAGAGCCGTTAAACTAATAAACTGTTTTCTCAGAGCCAATCCAGACGCAGATATATTTTTTGACAAACCCAGCGCAATGTATAAAAATGTTTTAATATTCTTAAACAACTTTGTAAGATAGTAGAATAGTATATGTTTAGGTAAATAAGTTTAATTTATGATATAGTAAATAGACTATTATACTGTTGTGGCTGTAATTTATATTGTGTATGGAAAGAACAATGCCCATTTTTCACCTGACAATGTATAGAAATGAAATAAATCTTAAAATTCAGCTTATTGAATTGTAAATTAATTGCGCTTATCACAATGTTAAAAGAAACGCAGGAAAAAAATATTTTTACATATTTCTTTAAGCTTATTCTACGTCAAGGGTTAACGTATTATATATTTTGAACGCATCTCAACTACCCTTTTTCTAGGACGTTCCATTTTATACACCGCTACTTTACTTTATTTAACTCTGTTTCTGAGTTTTATACATTATTTTATGTTTCATTTAATCAGTAAGTATTTATTTATTTGTATTTGTATAGTACATATTAATATAAAATAACATAATAGTAAAATAAATTAGTCATTCAGTACCTATGTCGTCGAGTGCGGACGAATGAAACAGATTTTTTTTTGACATTTGACAGTTCTCGCAATTGGCATCGGCGCCGGCGCAGTTCTTCGTTGTTGCGTTTGCGTCTTGTTGTGTACTGTGCCATTTTGTTTCTGTTACTTCTTTTTACGACCCTATATACCGCCCCTGGACCTCGATATCTTCCTCATTTGACGACCTTTGCTTACCATACCGTTGTAAATCCGTTCTCTTGACAATGCCGCCGTCAGTAAAAAGTCGACGTATACTTTGCATAAACTGCAACGTCTGTTTAAATACGTTTCGACGTTATCTCGTTCATGAGCTCAACACAAGAGTTATTTCGTTACTTAGCGAGTGGATATCACCAGTAATCGTAAGTATTTATGCCTAATAAAGATTCATTGACTAAACTAATAGTTTTGTCTTGTTATTTCGTGTTTCGTTTTGAACTGTCAATCTTTGCTTGTTGTTTATTGTCAATTTGGAATCATTTGTTCAACATCCCTATACTTTAAATAAAAAAATTGTTTCCTATTTCAGATTACTGAGGAAGATTACATTTGTGAACGTTGTAATGAACTCCTCATGAGCAGCATAAACCAGCAATTAACAACAAGCTGTGATGGTGCTCAAGCATCAGGGTCATCTCAACCAGGTCGAAGACAAGTGTGCAGTATTTGTGGACGGTCAACACTTAATCGTCAGAGCCATTCTATTGTTTTTGACAATCCTTCAGAAGAGCAAAGGCAGATAAATGCTCTTATACAAACAAAAATTGCACCACGTCAGGTATTTATGTTTTTAAAATATTCATTATTTGCTAGTATAATAAATACTTCATACTTTAACTCTAGATGATTACTCTTTTTGTCTTCTGGACAGAAATGATTATATCTGTTATTGATTGACTGAATGCTGTAATAATTTTAGCCACAAATAAATCGTAAAAATATTGCACATTATAATATTTTTAACATGAAAATAATAGTTATTGCTTTTTGACTATGAAAATCACATGTCTCCTATTAACAATCAGCAAAATTCAGGTCAAATGACCTTTCCATATATGATATATTTTTTATACATTTTTGTACCTCCTGACTTTATGTGAATTATTATTGTTTTATAAACAAAAGTATTTATATTGTAATCTGTTCATACAAATATGAATAAAAATAGCATTCTCTTACAAGGCTAGGTTCATTTGACCTATTTAAATGATGATTGTTTTTGTGAGTGGGATAATTATATTTAGTTTAATTTTATTTTCTGAAATCTAAAAGATGGCCAGTACAAGTATTTTATAATATTTTAGATTTATCGGCAATAAATGCCTTGGTCTTGTACTAAATATTAACAACTAGAATATTATTATACTGCAATTGGTGATCAAACTGAGTAGTAACATTTTAGAAGAACCCACTCCTAAGACCTCACTGCAACATTTTATAGCCTCAGAAATGCCAGCTGCTGAGTTCAGAAAGAGGTATAATTTCCATCAAACTCACTGTAAAAATGAAACCAATAAAGCATGTAACTTATATAAATCTACTATGTGGCAGATGCATTCAACCAAAACTATTCCCATGCCATAACTGTAATTTCGTTATTTATTAAACAACTATTTACACTAGAAACCAAAAATATTTCATTACTTTTGTAACATCCAATATTGCCCATTATTTCTAAAATGTTACTATAAATATATATATGCATAATTAGAGACTAGGTAGCAATGATAGGTCGAATGACCCTTGAACGCCTTTTTAGTTTAACTGTTTCTCCCGTCTTGCTAGTGTTAATATATATATATATATAATATACCTAATAATAATTAAATGTTTTCTTTTGTAGATATCATTATCTGATAGGATATGCCATTCATGCTGGATGAAGTGTAAGCGTGATGCCATGCGTATTGAGCAAGTTGATGAAGCTCGCCGAGTGTCTACAACTAGAGAAGTTGATCTTGAAACACGTGACTCTGAGCCAATCACTTCTCAGTCAGTTCATGAAAGTCTAGAAGTGCCTTCTGAAGTTGTATCTAGCAACATAACATTGGAAAATTATAGACGGGCAGCAAATACTGCTTCTCACTGCCTTTTCCCTCAATGTACTAATATTAATCTGCACAATATGGCAGATTCATTTAGAGCAACAATACTCAGTTCATATAGATATTATATTCCCGTGCACAGCCGTATCTGTACGGAACATAGACTAAGTAACGAGTGGAGTAATCTGTATGATTCGAGTAATAGCATGAATACATTTACTGCACAGCAAGTAGAACACATTTTTTCGTTTATTAATGCTTTCAAGCCCTACCTTAATTTCACAAATGTTGAGGCCATTCGAGAAATTGAGGATAACATATTCTTCTTTTGGACAGGAAAGTCTAAACACGACTTTTTTACCCTTCTTAATGAAGTTCCTCGCATACAAGGAACACACAAAGGCATTTTGGGATTAGCTGCATTGTTAATTAAATTGAGGACTGGCGAATCAGATGTTCGGTTGTCTACATTATTAGATGTACCGCGTAGCACATTAGAGCGACTAATGAACAAATGCAGGGAAATCCTGGTTCAAGATTTTGTACCTATGCACCTGGGTATTAATCACATATCGAGAGAAAGTCTAATGGATCATAACCTTACAATACCAAATGGTATATTCAATGAAAACTATACAAACACTATAATTATTTGCGATGGGACTTACATAAATATAAATAAAAGTTCCAATTACTCCTTTCAAAAAGATACATATTCATTACATAAATATAAAAATGTATTAAAGCCATTTTTATTTGTGGCATGTGATGGTTACATCTTAGATTGTTACGGTCCATACAAGGCTACCACATCCGATGCTAGCATAATGATTTCCCTTTTTGATAATGAAAACTCTTCCCTTAGATTATATTTTCAAGATAATGATGTGTTCATATTGGATAGGGGTTTCCGGGATTCTATAAGAATGCTAGAAGGTTGTAATTATCGGCCATATATGCCTGATTCTCTATTAGAAGGCGAACACCAGTTAACAACACAGCAGGCCAACCGGAGTCGCTGTATAACAATATGCCGCTGGGTAATTGAGGCAGTAAATGGACATTTTAAAAGAGACTTTAAGCTCTTGAGGCAAGACTATTTTCACAAATCAGTGCCAAATATGATGCAGAACTTTCAGATAGCGGCCAGTTTACTTAACCGATTTGGTGTTCGTCTTCGTGATAGAAATGATTCTAATGAAATAGTTGCAATAATTAGAGAGAGAATTAAAATACTGGTTGAGGAGCTAAATATGAATAGAAGGTCAACTGTTTTTCAAAGTATAACAGCTGACCAACATAATTTATTTATGTTTCCTAGATTACGTTATAGTGAATTAATACTATTTGCTCTAGGCACTTACCAGATAAGGCAAGCCAGATCATATTACGGGGAACATATTCGATTTCATGGATCATATAGAATAGAAATATGTAGGGATACACAAGATTTTTCTCAATATAATCTCAGAGGAAGTAGTGATAGAACATTAATAAGAGGAAAAATTAAGTCCAGGCACATTTCAAGAAAACAATATTATGTCTATATTTTAATAGAAAATAATGTGTCTGGCAGAGCTGCTATAGTCGAATATTGTTGTAATTGTTTGGTCGGTCGACGAACCATTGGATGTTGCGCTCACGTTATGACGTTAGTGTGGTACCTTGGATGGGCTAGGTATCAAAAAAATATTTCTGCTCCAGCAGATTTTCTGGATGACGTAGTGGTAAGAGATTTAAGTGAAAATGATGATAATTAATAGACCATTCAACTTTAACATAGTGTTTTATTTGTTTTTCCCATTTTGTTCATCAGGTATGTATGTTAGTATGTACCATAGGCCAATGAAATGTGTTTGGTTGATAAATGATCATTTTGACAATACAAGATGAACTAAATGTAGTTAGTAATTATTTATGTATGCTGAAGAAAGAGCAGATAGCGCTCACTCAATTTATGGTGACACTCATCGAGAGTAAGTGGTGACTTAAGGGCAGTTGGTTTCAAGAAATTCACAAAGTAAAAAAGATGTTTTAGACCATAACTAGGTAAGTATAGCAATAATATACTATACTAACTTCGAGCGTTAATTATAAGTTATAGCACATTTATTTTTTTATTACCTATTTGGTTACGGCAAATCCTAACCTATAAAGTGACATTAACATTTTTTGGGATTCGTAGCGTTTAAATCGTAAAAATGACTATATGACATTATTTTCTAAGCTTACATATAGTTTTTCCATTATATCTTATAATTATACATAAACTTTCACTATCAGGTTTTTAAATGTATGGAAAGTGGGCATGATTCTTTAATAATTGGTGATTTTTTTTTCTTGTGTATTTTATCTTACTTTGTAAATTTAGTGTAGATATAAGCGATTTGGTTGTATATACTGTAAGCTTATATTTTATCAATAAATGAATATGAATGTACAACGATATTTTAGTGGATGAGATGTTTCGCTCCTATTTATAAGGATAATAAGTAATAAGATTTTGTATTTCGTAAATAAAAATTGTAACAAAATTAGGTAATGTATTTTATTGATGATTCAGATTACCGTTGCAGTTAGGAACAAAGGAGTATAATATAATAGCACTGATAATCCGACGCACGAATAGACAATGACGGTATTCAATGAAAAATAGATAAATAACAATGGGGCGCTAATGACGGTGGAGGCCCTCACTGGATATCAATTAGATAAGAGTTAATTGATCTGCACATCTCCGGAACCGTGCATCCTACTCAAAAACGGACCGCAGATTCGTGATCAGAGCATGCCAAAACCTATTTTTAATTTTTTAGGATCGTGAGTCGTCGAACGTCGTACTTGTACCACTTCTGACTCAGTGAGCCAGAACTGGTACTAACTAACTACTATAATATGTAGTATGAGTAAATTGAAAGTTCCGCGCGCTTATAAATAAATATATAAAATTATGTGAAAAATTGTTATAATAATTCGTTTTATCTTTTATTTAAAAAACTTTATCATAAGATTATATCTCAATTATATACCTAATCATAATCATTTAATTCCTAAAAATGGCAAACTAGTATTATATACCAATGATAATTAAAAAGTATAGAGAACAAATTAAAATGACATATTATCTCAAAATCATCTACAGATAGCAACAGCAACAGACACATATACATGGACATAGAATACTATAATACACAACAGAATGGCTGTCAACCTTTTTTTGTACGAGGATATGCGTCGCCGGGACCATACATACAAGCAATTCGTAGTATTATCACTACTACCAACTCGGTTTGCTGTGTTGACAGAGTTGAGATTTTAATACTTATTTATTTGTAAATAGCGTGCAATTTGGTATTTTCTAAATAATTTGCATGCGAAATTTGGAAACGATTATAATGTCAAAATTTACGATATTTTGCGCATCAATTGTGTGATTACGACACATCACACTGTAGAATATTCCACCACTACTTGGTCATAGATTAGATCAGTTTACTCGTTCAGTTCGACTCCACAGAGCCAGTAATTCATTCTTGGGGCAATGTATACGCTATTACAAAGAAGTCTCAGAAAATATACAAAGTCCCTCTATTACTAAGTTTAATATTTAATTAAACAAAAACTGTTATTACGATATAAATGAAATGAAAAAAGGGTCATTATGATATAAATTAATACATGGTTGATAATAACCCCTGAGAATGAGGTGGTCGCTTCCAAGCTGTTTCTAAAATTAATTTTGTAAATATTTTGTGACCATTGACATTGTAAAATATTTTTTTATTAAAGTCCCGCTGGGTTTTTTGCTAGTTCTTCCCAGGACAGAGGTTTTTTCGAACCAATGGTAAAGTTAGAAATTGACTTTCAATAAGAATTACTTGTAATATATATTGAATAAAATATTATACTATTCTATTCACACTAGGTAGAAATGAAATGAAATATAAACTTAAAATAATTCACGGCAAAATGATTTTTGAAACAAAACTTCTTTACGCATGCTTGACTTGGGAAGTAAGGTGGCGAACGCGTGACGAAATCGTTAAGATAAGTGTGATCGGGCAAGGCGAACGGGAGATGAGTGGTGGATGTAAGCAAGAGAGAGCGGTGCGCGCGCACGTTTTCTTTCTCTCCTAGATAATTATTTTTCTTAATTTTAAATCGGTTTGAACAATTTTATGAATTACTACTTTGTTCAATACATTAAATATTCTACGTTTAAAGTGAATAAAATTGTAATACAGTAGAACTTCGATAAGATAAAGACCAAGGGCAACGTTAAAATTTTTAAGTTATTGATGTTTTTACTTACTAAGGGTTTAACTTAAGGAGTTTTTATTGGTTTATGTTTGTACTTACAGAGGTTCGTTTATGAACTCTGTTTAGGAACTTATATACATAAATACATAGACGAGCTAGGTTAAATGCAAATGAAAGTTAAATGTTAATATATATATATATATATTTTATTTTAGGTTTAGGTTTAAAGATACATTTATTCAAGTTTATTTTATTGTACATAAAAAAGTCTGTTTTCTAACTATTCATTCACACTCTCTATATCAATTTTATTTTCAATATTAAAGAAAGAAGAGAAAATAACATCATCTGTGTATATGCATTACTCTATAAAATAACGTAAAATCCCTAAAGGTAATGATACAAATAAGTTAACCGTACTTAGACCTTATTGTATTGAAGCCACTTGGTAAACACCACAGAAATCTAAATAATAAGGCAATAGAAGTAAAAGCGCGTGACTTTGTCGCCGCACATGTGACTCGTAGACCACAAGCACGCAAGGAGCGTTTCTTTCGGTCACTAGTTTTGTTTCGGATGCAGACGTAAAAATGATATTTAGAAGCATATCCAACTGCGGAAATTCTTCCACAACTCGCAATTTTTCTAAAACAAAGTTATAACATTTCACAAATAAGTACTTAGTGTTTTAAATAATGTTTTTAATGAAATATACTTAAATAAAATTATTCAGCTCCAGTACTACGTGTAGTGGCGGTTGAGAATATCCACTACCCCAATCTTCCCGTGGGTGTCGTAAGAGGCGACAGAGGGAGACAGGCAGGACATGGGCAGCAGCATCTTCCGGATAACAACAGTGATATAATAAAAAACTCCGGTTGCCAACCTGCTCGCCAAGCGTGGCAACTATGGCAAATATCCCCCCATGAATAACGACGCAAACAAACGGCCCCCTGTCCCCGGCGGCCCCGCTATTCCTGGCTACGGTGGCGACCATGGTAACGGCGGGGCAGGGGGTGCTAAGAATCTCCGGTGGAGGTTCGGTTGCCACCTACGACGACTCGACCTGGCAACATATAACGCACGCACGCTGAGGACTGACGAGAAGATACTGGAGCTGGAAGAAGAGGTAGACAAGTTGCGCTGGCATATTATTGGATTATCCGAGGTCAGAAGAGAGGGGGAGGACACGGTAATCCTCGAGTCCGGCAACTTGTTCTATCACCGGGAGGGCGACCATCAGTCCCAAGGAGGTGTCGGATTTATCGTCCACAATTCTCTCGTCAACAACGTTGTAAATATTGGGAGTGTGTCGACGAGGGTCGCGTACCTGATACTCAGAATCACCAAACTGTATTCGCTGAAGGTCATACAGGTTTACGCACCAACCTCGGCACATCCCGATGAGGAGGTGGAGGAAATGTATGAAGATATTTCCAGAGCCATGCATTCCTCCAAAACCCACTACACGGTGTTGATGGGAGACTTCAACACAAAACTAGGCACAAGAGAAAGCGGTGAGCTGAAGGTAGGGAAATTTGGTGTAGGGCAACGGAACCGAAGGGGCCAGCAGCTGGCCGACTTTATGGAGAAAGAGGGACTCTTTATGATGAACTCTTTCTTCCAGAAGCGGCCCTACAGGAAGTGGACTTGGTCGAGCCCCGACGGTTCGACAAAAAATGAGATTGACTTCATTATGACGACCAGACGCTAACTGTTCAGTGATGTCTCAGTGATCGCAAGGGTGAAAACTGGCAGCGATCACCGAATGGTTAGAGGCACACTGAACCTAAACGTTAAGTTGGAGAGGTCTCGTCTAATGAAGTCAACGCTCCGTCCCCCCTCGTGCTCTGATCCAGAATCCCGAAACCTTTCAGCTCGAGTTACGTAACCACTTTCAGTGCCTAGAAGATTGCAATGCAATGGACGATATGAATGACAAGCTCGTGGAAACTGTCCATGCGGTCGGAGCTAAGTTCTGCAAGACCCGCCGCAGAAGAACACAAAAACTCTCCGATGACACTCTTAATCTCATGGCTGTTATACGGGAGATGAGGCTGCAATCGTCAACAGATTTGACAACATACAGGCAACTGAACAGACAGATCTCCAAATGCATGCGGCGAGACTTACGCAACTTTAATACTGCTCGTATTAAAGAAGCGATCGAGCGGAACCAGGGCTCCAAAGTCTTTGCCATAGATCTGTCTGCCAGAAAGAGCCAACTGTCAAAGCTGAAGACTTAGTATTTCAACATCGTTTCCGGGACACCTGAGATACTGAGTGAGATTGAGAGGTTCTATGGGCAACTGTACACATCATCGTTGGAGCCACACACAAGTGTGAGTAACGATCCAAGAGCAAATCTTATCCGACACTATGCCGAGGATATCCCGGACGTCAGTCTGAGCGAGATTAGAATGGCTCTCCACCACCTTAAAAACGGCGAGGCCCCAGGCGAGGATGAAGGTGGGGAGATACAGAACAGATAATGGTGGGGAGTTTTGCTCTGCGGAATTTGTTGACTGCTTTAAGAAAAATGGAATAGTGCATCAAACAACAAACCCGTATACACCAGATTTGCGAACGGCTAAATAGAACAGTTGTGGATAGAGCTCGATGTCTTCTGTTTGAAGCAAATCTTGATAAAAGTTTTTGAGCAGAAGCAGTCAATACTGCCGTCTATTTACGGAATAGAACGCTAGCTTCGGGTCTACAAAAACACCATATGAGCTATGGAATAATAAAAAACCAGATCTCAGCCACGTTCGGATATTCGGAAGTCGTGCAATGGTCCATGTTCCTAAAGCGAAGAGCTCAAATCCTTTGAAGAAAACGAAGCTTGGGAGTTAGTAAACAAACCAAGTGATGCTAAGGTGGTACAGTGCAAGTGGGTGTATAAAAATAAATTAAACATTGATAACACAGTGCGATATAGAGCAAGATTAGTTGCAAAAGGTTTCACACAACGTGAAGGCATAGACTATAAAGAAACTTTTTCACCCGTGCTTAAATATTCCACTTTAAAATTGTTATTTGCTTTAAGTGTTAAATTAGATCTTAACATATCCCATTTAGACATAACCACAGCATTTTTAAATGGCCACTTAGATGAGATTGTTTATATGCAGTTACCTCAGAATTTCAAAAGTGATATGGATCAGAATAAAGTTTTAAAATTAAAAAGAACCATATATGGGCTAAAACAGTCAGCTAGGGCTTGGTATAAGCAGGCTATAAAAAGTCATTGTATGAACATTGTTTATTTATAAAATCATTAGAAAATGTTAAAACATTTGTGGCTTTATTTGTTGACGACTTTTTCATATTTTCTAACTGTAATAAAGTGAAATATTTAAAATGCCAATTAAGCAAAAGATTTAAATTAAAAGACCTAGGTCAGTTAAGACAGTGTCTAGGTATGGATATTAAGATACAAAAAGATTATATTTATATTAGTCAAGAAAGTATTATTGATAAATTATTGTATAAATTTGGTCTGGAAAACTGTAAAAATGTAGAAACCCCTATGTAAATTAATTTGAAATTGGAAAAAAAAAAACAAATTTAAATTCCAAATTTCCTTATCAACAGCTGATAGGGAGCTTAATGTATCTCTCAGTTTTGACTAGACCCGATATCTCGTATTGTATTAGTTATTTAAGTCAGTTTAATAACTGTAATACAGAAACACATTGGAAACATGCTAAAAGAGTTTTAAAATATTTGAGTTGTACAAAGTCATTTGGTTTAAAATATGTTAAAGATAATTTAGATTTAATTGGTTTCGCTGATGCTGATTGGGCATCTGACAATTTAGATAGAAGATCTTATACAGGATATTGTTTTGTATACTCAGGTTGTCTAGTATCTCATGAAAGTAGAAAGCTACAGACGGTAGCTTTATCAAGCACCGAA